AGAGCTCTGATGCCAACTGAAGGTGAGAAAAACACTTAGAAGGGGGGGGGGGGGGGGGTTGAATAAGGGTTTAGAAAAGATTATGGCAATAAAAACAACACAATATTTTTATCCTGGTTCGTTGATCTCAACTAATCCAGTACACCCTATCAAGAGTGATTTGCCTTTCTCCACAAGGACTTAATCCACTATATTCAAACAGATTACAGTGTCAACCACTAAGAACAACTGTCTTAGTCTTCTCAAGAAATCCTGACCACAACTTGGTCTTCTTAAGGAACCTTTTACAAATTAATGTAAACTAACAAGTGTTTGAGATGCTTCTAAAAAGCTATATCACAAACTGTGATTTTTACACTTAGATTAAGAACAATAAAAACTATTCAGCTTATGAAACAAATTTGTATGAGAGCTTAAGAGTAGTTTTGATTTGATTTCTCAGTAATTCGTCACCTTCGAAGAGATGTAGTAGACGTCCTTTTATAGTGTTGAAAGTCTAATGCTTGAAGACTGTGCAAGTAGAGTAACTGTAGCCTTTTATCTTCACGTGACTTTTCCTTCTTAAAAGTAGAATGTTCAGAGAAATGCCTTTTGCCTGAATCCTTGTGTCTATAACAAATAAGGAATAGTTCCATTGGAGAGGATGTTGAGAATAGTACCAAGTCTATTCACGTGCTGACATCTTTTCAAACGTAAACAACATCAGATCCTCTGATGTGATTCTTGTTCTTCAAATCAGATTCAATGATATTAGAGTTGCAGCAATAGTGCTTTAGCGTGAGTGATCTGATCAAAGCATACTTGTTTATCAGAGCATCTGTACTTGCAGCGTAAAGTACATTCAGAGTCTTCTGAAACAATGCTTTAAACTCTTTATACAAAATCTTCAGCTACGCTTCAGATGCTTCTGCATCAGAGTCTTTTGCAACTTCTGCTTCAGAGTCTCTTCTGGAAGCGCTCAGAGTCTTCTGATGAGTTGCTTCTGATGCTTCAAAGCTTTGCATAGACTACTGTTATGATGCATTTTTGCTTCCATAAGAATATTTAATTTAATATCTGAAACAAAAACACTTGAACAAAATTAGAGTATATATTTTCTTAATACAAAATTTCATTAGTGTTATCATCAAAACATAAAGAGATATTGAACATCAACCTGTGTTCTAACAAAGTCTCCAGATCCTCGATCCGAGCCTGTAACCTCGTCCGTTCCTCCTCGGAAGCTTTCAGCCGCTCCTTAGCCTCATTGCTCTTCTTGCGCTGCGCTGCGCTCTCCTTCCTGCTCAAGTCCAGCTCAATAGCCAGCTTGGTCAACCTCGACTCAACAAAGGTGAGATTTCCTTACAATTTGGCCAGCTCGACTGAAGAACAACCTCATCGCTTAAGACCAAAGCGGTCGAGAAGACCCACATCATCGCGGCCAAATCCTCAGTGAGCATCTGTCTTCGGGCGTTCCAACTTGCCCCGAGGACCGCTTTCGCTTCTGAGACCGACACCGTCGGTGACCTAGCCCCGTGGAAGAAGACAAAATGCTGATGACAAGGGGGGATAAGAAACCCCTCCTCGGTACCACCCTCTGTAAGGTCAACCACGGTATTAGGACCATGGACTCTCACCCGCTTCGAGGTCTCTTGTGACATGGGGGAATGACTTCCCCGGGGAGAAGGTGAGGAGCTCTTTCCACCTGGTCGACAGGAGGCTGCTGCATCACTTGGGCGACCCTTCCCTTTCCGCTCTTAGCTGTGACCTTGGAGGCCGCCAACTTCTTCACGCGCTTTTGCATAGTCGACATGCTTCCTGCAAAAACAAAAGAAAGGATTAGCAAATACGAGGATAAACTAGGATCAAAGAGATGGGCATAACACCGCCCGCTACCTAGAAAACACATAGCTTCCTTGTCAGACGAACACTCGAGCAAAGCCTTCGTGTTTATGAGCCTCGCCTGTTGAAGAACGTTCCCTCAGCCGTCGAGGATAATGTTACCATCGGGCGTCACGAGCTTGGCCGGGGTAAAATTGGCCACGAAGGACACCAGCCTCTGATAACCCACCTGGTCCTCCTTGTCCATGGTCCCTGCCCATACGATATATTGATCCGTGCCCCTCCTAAAGTGTTCCTATGACCAATCCAGGGGCACCTTCGACACCATGACTTCCTCCCGCTGCCCATTCACTTCCCGGGCTTCGCGTCGGTACAAAGAGGCGCACGCCTCGAAAGAGACATGCTAGACCATAAAAAAACATGCTTTGAAATCCTGGAAAGAGTCCACGTACACCCGGAAGAGCCTCCTCGGCTGCTTCAACGACACCCATCCTTGTTATCCATCCACTGTCTGCCTCTACAGGTGGAAAAGTCGAAAGAACAGGGGTAAGGGTGACCCCGATCTTCAAATACCGACAGACGAGCTCATATGCCCGAATGAAGGTTATAGCGTTGGGGTGCAGCTGAGAAGGTTCCAGCTTCAACCATTCGAAAATTCCTAATTGGAAATTAGTGAAGGGAAGTCGAAGACCCGCCTCGTGGAAGAAACACTCGAACATGGGAAACCTCATCTTCTCGTAGCTCGAACATATCCGGTGATGGTCTCGTGGTCGGTATGCTTGCCAGCTCACAGAAAAGCCCTCACAGTGGTCCTCGATAGTCGCAAAGGCGCCGACGTCGTTATTAACAAAGCAGGATGGTGTGTTTAAAGGTTCCTCTGCGACCCAGTCCTCGACAGATCAGGCCTGCCCCTCGACCGGAGGGGCCGCCAGAGACTCTGGCTCCACGTGAACTTCCATGATTTCTGTCGCCCACGTGGCCATGTTCACCTGAAAAGCAGAAGGAAATGGTGAATTCGATGTTTCAAGATCAAATTCACCCTTCCACCACAAACCAAGTGAAAGGGCGATGAAGGCGACGACTACAACTCAGACTCCTCCTCGACGACAACACGACCACGAGCCAACTGCAAATGTCCCCGGATTATTCATCCTGCGGCGGCTCATGTCCCCGCGACGTCCATCTCTACCCAAGCGTTCCTCCTCGAGGCACTCATCTCACCTTATTCTACGTCCCCGAGGTGTTCATCTAACATTACCCTATGTCCCCGAAGAGTTCATCCTTACCATGTCGTCTGTCCCCCGGGACATTAATCCTAATTCCTTAAGTGACCTCGGGGCCTTCATCCCAGGTCAAGGGGATTCTTCCGTATTCGCCGGAGAACCCACACTCTCCTCGGGACATTCATCATGTCCACGACAGAGGACACCAAAATTAAGGAAGACGGAAGAGAAGAAGTAGAAAACTTACTGGGATAGTAGAGACGGCGGAATGCGCGGCGGACGATACAGTGGCGGTACTGTGCGACAATGCGTGTACGGGAGATCCAGATATCATGTGCGATAGCGAGTGAGTGCGAAAAATGGTAAAAGGGAAGGCACCTTCCTATTTATAAACGTAGCATGGGACTCGAAGCGCCCTTAGGCACTCGAGTGCCTTAGGGTAGCCGCCCTAAGTGGCACAATGATTGTCAGACACATGGCCACCACGAACGGTCACGTCCCTTTGTTCTCTCCTTCAAGCACAGGCAAGCGGGCGTCCGACAATCTTCCACCTCCTCGACCTAATAGCCCGACAAGTTCAAGATCCTCGCCCCTAGTGTCCTCGACACGGCAGTCCGACCAGTTTCTTCCTCGTCTTTCTTCGTCCCCGACGCAGTTACCGTCAAGTCATTGCTCCTTCACATTGGAGCTACGACTTGGGGGGCTCCTGTTCTATAGTGGACCCAGACCTGCTCATCCGTCGGGCAGGCCCAACCCAACGTTATTTGGGGAAGGCCCAAATCCCTCAATGTCGGGCACAGTTCTAGATATACCGGGTAGGCATCCTTCCCGTCGGGCAGAACAACATGTCTTCTCCACGTTCTTCACGTGCTCCCCCCGCAGGGATACGTCATCAGACAACTACCTACCCCCGAAAGAGCTGGTCAGCCCATCTTCCAGAGATCACGGGACAGTTGAACTAGGGCGAAGACCACGTGCTGGTCTTTACTACGCCACGTAAGCCCTAGCAGTCACTTGGGTTGGGTCTGGCAATCCAGCCCAACACAAGTGAGTGTTGGCCCTGCGCTAGGGTCTCACTATAAATATCCTCTTTCAATAGAGGGTCATATATTTCATTCTCAACACCTAACTTATGTATATGCTCCCACTCTAGTCCTTTACTCACCTTAAGCATCGGAGTGTCTGCAGGTACACCCCCTCCTCCTCTCTACCTTCGGTGAGCAACTTTCAGATCAGTGACGCGTGGCGGTCGGTAATCTCTTCTGATCAGGTACGATCAGTTTTATATCATTTTTTTTCTTCTGGAAGTGGAGTAATTCTACATAGAGAAATTTAGAGAGACCGAAAGAAGAATTCATAGATTCATAATTTTATGGATTGAGTTCATCCTTAGTTGTTATTAAAGTTTTGAGAAACTATTTTAAAAACGCATTGAAATTGTGTGTAATTATGAAGATGAGAGATTGAATCACAAATTGAACGAAAAATATGAAATGTTGATATGAACAAAGAGGTCTATTTTCTTGCAATTAATTTGTAATCACTTATTTAAAAATATTTGATTGATAGTGAATAAGAAAACTTCTATCTCAATCAAAGTAGATTGATTTAATTAAATTATGTCTGTTTGATTTTCATCTCATTCACAATAATCTCGTGTTTCATTTCATTTATCTCTTTACAGTAAATAATTAAAAAATAATTAAAAATATTAAAATAGATTTACAATTAATATTATATTGAACTTTAAAAGAACATGTAAATAGAAGTAAAAAAATCTCTACAAATAAGACAAATAATAAGAAATGGATAGAATAATACATTAGAATGATTTTAAAGAAATTATCTATACACTCTTTTTCTTTAACCCTTTTAACAAAAAGAGACCTAGTAATTCGGAGTTTCAATCAACTCTCTGAATTTTAACTAGAATTTGTAACTAGCACCTAGTAATTCCTATTGTTGTTGTCTTATTTTGTCTTGATTAATTTCATCAAGAATCAAAATTACTCCCACAATGAAAGCATAATCAACATTAGGATACACTCTAACCATGAGATTATCTTTCCCATACTCAGCACTTTGAACAATGTCCTTCTTATGCATCTACATTCAAACAAAATTTCATTTGCAAGATTAGAATCAAATACATAAAATAAAAAAACATACAATTTATAACAAAACCTAAACTCATTCTTAAGGCTTACCTGTGCAATAATGTTGTGAGAATCACCAGCATAAACAACACAAGATCGTTCAAACCAACTTCCTTTGACCTTAAAATCACTTATATCTTCTTTCATGTTACTTGCTAAGAACACATCTAACTTGATCTTTGTTTGAAACATGAGCGATCTCTTTACACTAAATATTAAATCTTTCATCTCGTGCTTTCACCTCGAAAAGCTTCCCATCGATCATGTCCTTTCATTACCTATAGTAAATAAAATTCATTTATATGTTAAAATTAATTAACTAGTATATAAAAACATTTATGAAATTGAGATAACATATGATATTATGATAATTTTGTCACTTTTTACATTGGTTGACTGACCGATATGAAAAGTGACAGAATTATTTTCACTCTGGTGGGGAATTAACCGAGGAGATTAGTCCTTG